GGTGGTTTTTGGGGTTGCCCACAAACCCCCAAATAAAAAAGTTCCTTTTGGAACCTTTTTTGGAAAAAAAAAAAAAAAAAAAAAAAAAAAACATTTGTAGGTGTCAAAATGTATGTAGTTACAGTAATTACTCTAAATTAACATGTTAAAGTCCTGTCCCTAATATTTATTCTCCATGTCTGCACATTGCAAGCTCTTGAAACTGGACTCAAATTTCCTGTTTGTGCACAAAATCTTGGCCAACAAGGTTGATTCTGATTTCCATTGACCCTTGCAAACCAATCAGTGTTTCTGTGACGCTCTAAGAAGACAGCGGTCTGGAAATGCGAATCTTTTATTTCGACATATATTCAAGACAACATGAGACAGTGGGTTCTCTGCAGAAAACATGTGCTGCCGAGTTATAAATAAACTTTGAACTCGAAGCAAAAACCTTTAACTAGACCGTGTCATGATTTCAAACAGGAAGTTTTCTCTGTCTTTCAGTAGTGCATCTTGCCATGCGGAGCTGGTGAAGATAGGTGTCTAATAAAGAGTGAGACCTATTCTAATGTCAGGAGACAAAATATAAAAACTCCAGGAACCAAATCTAGATGTTCAGGATCACCTCAGATTAGACAGGGCATAGATGGTTCAGACCTGCGTGAGGGAGGGTCAGTGGAAATATGGAGTAATTAATTGGAGGTCAAGGGACGTTGAGGGGTGTAGAGATGGAGGAGAAGCAGAGGGATGGTGTGACAGGAGAACAGAGGCCTGTCCAGAGCTCTGAAAGGAGAAAGTGAAAGATTAGACCAATTTAAGAAGTAGGCCAATTTTAGTTGTGGTCTTAAAAAAAAACCATCTTATTTCCCACCACAGACAATGAGATCAGACAGTGAGTTCGTCACAGCTCCTGGGGGTCGGGACAGCAGAGGATGCTGCTGACAGAAGCCGGTAACAGCCCGGTCAAATGACGGGGACAGAAAACCGTGTCCAGCCGCCGCACTCCAGTCTTTTAACGAACCCCTGCCAACATCTTAGCTTTCAGCTGCTAACGTTAGCTCCGAGCATCAATGGTGGATCCTCAAACCTGCTTTTTGTCATCTACAAATTACCCTACGAACACGTCATCCTTCCTCTTCCCTCTCTTTCCACATAAACAAGCAGTCCAGCTGGGGGAATCCCTCCCAGTAAAACCCCCAGTGTTCACCTGCAGGGAGAGAGCCAGCTAGCTGCAGGCTACGGTAGCCACAGAGGGTTAATGGAGGCAACATTCACACGTTTCCACCTCAGCGAGAAAAACTGGGGCTCGTTTTCACTTACCGGGATGTTATCGCATCGAGGAGCAATTTGGTTAAAGGAGTAGATGGCGTTTAGGTTTGGAATTCGAGATAAAACTGAACTTCAGCGCGTCAACACTCAAGCAGCCATCTTGTTTATGATAGCAGCCCGGACTGAACCAAGCTGGGAACCAGGAGGGGGTGGAGAGAGCAGAACCTGTTCACCAGCTGCTCTGGGTCACTACCAGCTCCTCACAGACGTTCATATCTGACCCTCTGTGGATTGGAAAAGTCCTCTTTAAACTGAAACGTCTGCGTAAACTTATTATACACACGCTTCCACAGACAGACATTAGAACAACAGGTTGCTGATGTGGATCCAAGAATTCAGGAAAATCTTATATTTTTCATTTCAATGCGTGTGGCTTAGTGGTACTGAAAAAAAGGACAATACAGCCACAGCATATTAAACACAGACTTTAAGAAGGCCAATTTTATTTTTGAATTATTTAGAGGAGGGCTTGCTATGGTGCTTCAGATAATTTCTCTCTTGCATAACCAGAATATGATGGCCTACCATTCTTCTTCATGATATTCTATCTAGTCAATAGCAGAAATTATATGTCAACTCATCCTGATCCTTAAGCAGTAAAGAAGTCCTGACCATCACACCGCCATTGCCATGCTTGAAAGAGGGTGCAATGTTTTGTTTCCATGGTTCTCTCTTTAAAAGTTGTATTAATTTGACTTAAGAGGAACTTATTCTGTGACCTAATCAGTCCAGAGTAATTCCCCAAAAGTTTTGGGACTCCCAAGATTTTTTTCTGTTTTGGTCAGCAGTGATTTTGGCTTTGGGACAAGCATGGACTTCCTGTCCAGTCTCTTTTGTGTTGACCTACATTTATTAAGTTATAGGAACAATAAGCTCATGTTGTTCAACATCTTATTTTGCTTTTATTGACTCCAATACCCATTTACTCACTGAGTAAGTGAGTTCTGAAAGTTAAGCAGATTAAAAGTAGTACATGTCATTTTAATTGGTTCTCTGTTAACCTATGGCTACTTCCTAATGGGGGGCGGTTCTGTTAATGTTGGAAAGAGTACCAGATTTAAGGAACTAGAGTTGGTGTTTTATTAGTAGAAACTAAAAAAATGTGTTAAGTTAGCACTGGGGCTGGTTTGGTGTTTGGGGAAACTCTTGGTGAGCTGTGGGGCCACCATCAACCTCAAGCAGAAATGAGCTTATTTATTTATTTTTAAAAGGTTTCTTGTTCAGAACAAATGGTAGCTTCATACCTTTAGTGGGACTTAAAGGCTTTCTCAGATTTTCAATTCAAATTAAAAAATACTTTATTGATCCAAAAGGGAAATTAAATGTTGTAACTCATTAATTCGGGTTCTTCAAAGAGTTATTGTAGATTGTGATGGAAATATCTCTTGTTGCGGTCTATCTATAGAAGCCTCTGACTGAAAACACTCAGTTTCCCCAAGACAATCTCATGAAGAGGAGACTGGAAGGACTAAAATGTAACAAAACCAAATATACACTGATCAGGCATAATATTACAATCACTCACAGGTGAAATAACTTATTTTATCAACTTGCTATCCATTGATTGTTGGAACATACTAGACAGCAAGTGAACATCAGTCTTCAGTTCTGTGATCCAAGAAAAAAACGTAGTGAACCGGAACCAGGGTTCTGTATGTATGGGTGGCTAAGGCTCAGTGATGGATGTTGGAAGAAAATTCTGGTTCGCATGGTCTGATCTAACAAACTACTGAAACTCTAGTTCCTCAGCTAATACACAGTTCATCAGGTTATGTATGGAGTGCAAATCAATCAAGGTGCCCATCATGACTGCTGTCCACCCAAAAAGCACCAACAACCCTTGGGTGCTGTCATCCCTGTGGATGATACCTTTGCATGTACCACCTTCTTAAACATCCACACTCTTTCATGCAAGCTGTATCCCGGATGGTTGTGAACTCTTCCAGCAACCACGCCGACTCATCAAGGTCAAGGTGTAAAACTGCATCTGAGTGCAGTAGAGCATCTGTGGGATATTCTGGACAAACAAATCCAGATAGATGCAAATCCAATTTCACAATCTGCAGCACTTCTATGGTCCAGATACCACAACACACCTCCATGGGTCTGGTTGGATCCACGCCTTCTCAGTTCAGTGAAATCAAATTATATCAAACATGCAATTTCATTTTCAATTAACTTGCCTGAGTTCAGCGCTTCATCTTTCCAAGTATCAGACCAGTAGAGGTCAGTGTTCTCTCCAGTACAGGGGGTCTTGGTAAAGGTCAGGCCTTCTGGAAAAAGTTTAAGCATACCGGTAATTTAAAACTGTGCTTAAGAATTGTGATGCTCACTTTTGCTATTCTTACATGATTTATTTAAATTCCCATCAATACTTAGATGTTTTTATATGATTGTATTTCATAAATTTATGATCAACTGATGGATTGTATTCTTAGATTATATTATTTTTTTCTACACTATTTGGGTGAAGGCTTCCTAAGATATTTTTTTCTGAAAATCTTTGATCTGCATTTTAATTGTGAAAAATAAACTAAATTCAGCAAGGCTGGTCAGGCAGCTAAAGGTGACCAAGACAAGATTTGGTCTACATTATGAATGATGATTACTAACAGATTGTTGTGACAGCAGTAAAAATATTAAGCCAATATTAAAACCCATAAGTCAGTCAACAAGTTTAGTGTTTTCAAGGATCTTTATTAGGTAAACTCTAAACTTTTAGTATTGCTTTCTTAATCGTCAACCTTTTTTTTTTTTACTTTTTTTTTTTTTACTCTAAATTAGAATCTTTTACAATATGTTTATATAGAACCCATGGATTAAGCTACAGTTCTGAGGAATACAAAAATATCACAGAACATTTTCTACACTCGCCTTTACCTGTGAGGCTCAGAACTGGTTCAGAAAGACAACAGCTGTCTGGACAGAGAGGATTAATGTATCCTAAAGGATAACAGCACCGTGGAGCCAACCCAGCTGAAGAAGTGGCTCCAGTTAAAACACCTGTCTCTGAAGTCAGGTGTGGTGAAGTGCTGGCAATCATGTCTTAACATGAGTCATGGAGGCGGGTCATTTCCAGAGCTGCAGCACAGCTGGATCGGAGTCTCCCTTCCCAGCCTCCTGCACACCTGGCCTGTGGATAAGCTGCCTCGACCGTCTGAGGGACGGTGTCCAGGGAAGTCCGTGCTCACACCTCAGTGTTCGATGGGGGCAAATGCCTAAATGAAGTCTTAATCAAACAGATCTACATGGGACCCATAAGTGCAAAGTGTTCAGTTTTAAAGTTGCATCTTTGAAAGCAAAAGTCTAAACAGTGGGACGGAGCCACCATGAGTCCTAGAAAGGGATCCGATCCAATGTTTCCACCCACCAGGAAAGCCGTTCTCCAGCATTCCCTCCTCCTGGTCCTGGAGTTCCACTGACCGGCATCTTTTAGATGGGTCCCTTTTTGAACACCTGGTCTGGAAGCAGGAATTACCTTGGAAGCTCATCACTGAGCTCTGAAGAAGCACGGTGACTCAGAAATGGGAAACGGTGAGCAGAGGCAGGAAGATGAGGAGCACTCAGGGCAGCGTGGCCCGCTGCGACCGACTCTGCAAGGTTGCCGCTGTCCTGTTGGTTCAGCTCGGTGAAGCTCTCGGCAACTTCCTCAGAAGTATTGAAATAAAAACAAATAAAGCTGCCACTCTTCAACAAACCTACTGATGTTCTTGACAATTTACAGCGACACCCAGCATGACTGATGAGTCCCAGTACAGATTGTCTGTCTGTTGGACAGCACCAGCTGGAGTCCCGTTTTGGTCTGGAGTAGAAATGTAAATATGGATCGTCATGACAACCAACAGCAGCGTTTGAGCTTTATCCTCCCCCCAAGTCCTGTTTGTATGCATGACTAAGTCAGTAGAAAATATCAAAAAGTTTATACAAAATCCTAAAACATCCGCAGAACAAACAGTTTACTTCTGTTCTCCTTGTCCCACGCTGCTAGAGGTTGAGATGGACAGAGACAGGCCAATCATCACCCCGCCCTCTGGACTGGAATGTCACAGCATGACGAAGAATCTCACCAAACGCTTCAATCCAAACTCAACTGAGCAAAAAAAATTCCTAAAAACACTAGAAATGGAAACAACATCAAGAGATCTAAGCGAGTGAAATAAAAAGAAGAGGGGTACACTGTGGCTCGTGGTTAAACACAAATGTGTGGCGGTGGCTCGAGTGTTTCAAAACTGCAACCAGGCTTCTCCACTGATGATACCCGAGTGGACAAACACAAGGTGGGAATCCATGGATGAGGGACACGGAGCCAGCTGCAGACTTCTTAGCTTGAGGCCACACAGGAGAGAAGGAAGGGGCCCTTGACAGAGCGGGGCCCTGTGGGGGATGTGCCTGGCTCAGTGGGGTGGCAGTAGTAAAGCTGGAGGCTGTGTGCTGCTGTTTACGGGGAGAACGTGGCCATCTCCAGCGAGATGCGCTGCCACAGCTCCTTGGTCTGTTTGCCTCTCTTCAGATTCTGCAGCACGTCATTGAACTGCATCATCCCCACCGGAGTGAGGCAAAACGCCCCCCGGGCGCTGCGGATGATGTTGACGAAGTCGTCATAGTCGGCAGGTGTCAGGTGGATGAGTCGATGGTGGATGTACTGAGGAGAGACAGATGGGTGTGAGAAGGCTTGTTGGACGGAATCGCTGCTGGATTAAAACATCTCGGTTTTTCATTTAAGTCAAATATTAGAACATGTTGTGAACATTGACGTTTCTATTTAATCTCAACTTCCTATATGGCTGAACAATATTAGGAAAAATATGTCCTTACAACATCATTGCTCAATATTCTGATGGGGATGTTGGTTGAGAAAAAAACCACCTCCCTCTTTCTTGCCAGTTTGTTGTTCTGAATCCCCACTAGAGGGGATTGCTGAATGGACAATATTGAGTCAGGCAACAGCTAATTGTGCCTTCAGGTCCTTAGCTGCAGTATATGCAATTCAGAAGAAATATTTCTGACATATTTGTTGGAACGGTCAATATGTCGTGACAATATGATATGAGACAGATAATCTGTGAAAAATTGTGCTTCTCTGCCTTCTCCAAGCGCTAGCTAGAAACAACCAATAAATCTTCATAACTCAAGCCTTACTGTAGATGAGGAGCCAATAAAACACTCTCAAATTTATTATACATGTCTTTTCCTTCGTCACAAA